CGAACAAATCAATAGCCAACCGAAAGAAGCACAAGGCATAAGTGAAATTTTGGGACAATTACTTGAACAGTCGGGGAACCGATCGAAGTGGAGGCGGCGACATTTGCTGTTGCAGCGACGACACTTCTGGAGAATTCATGAAGTGAAAATGTGAAGGTATCAGTAACACTAGAAATGATTTTCTGCATCTTTCGTTCTCTTTCTATCTCTCTTTTCTCCGTTGCTGAAACTTACTACCAGATTAAAAAATGGAATTCTCATTGCGCAGAAAGATAAGTTCTTTTGGTTCTACCCTCCATCACTGCATGCCTGAACTGTTTTGTTTTTGTTACATTTCCCTGTATTTCACATACTTCGTCGTCTTTCGTTCTAATTTGATGCCAATAGAACGGTGAACTATAGCCGCTTTGATGTAACATAGCAAGCGTGAGGTAATAATTGTCATTGTCTTCATTTCATTATAAGTGTATAGTTTTGTTTTGTGCATGAGAAAATGTACTCACAATATAAATTTGTAGTTCCCAATTAGATTTTGCTGATAATGGCTGTGTAATTGTGACCATTGTTGAATCCTGAGTAATTTTTTTGAATTTTTGCGGAAACTTTATGATGCTGCTGTGAATTCCTAATAAATAAATAAGAATATACTTTTCTTCAGAGTTATCTTCCATGTGTACCCAGTTTACCAATAAATAGATGGCTTTGGTGTTGATTTGTTGAATCTCTTTTCCAATGTTTGTACATTGGGTTTACTATTTTTACGTGCTTCACTTGCTTGATATGGTTGTTTGTTCCTTTTTTTTATTGTCTTTTTTAATTCTTTGCTCTAAGTACAACATTCATTTTCAGATTCTTTCAATATTCTCTTATGTCGTATACAATTGAGTAATATTATTTGATCACTTAAAATCTTAAATGTAATCAGATCTCGCACCCATAAATAAACTGTTTAAGCCTAGGATGTACCAGGCAGGTTGGAGACTGATTAAGCTGGAATCACGCCTTCCCTTCGGATGGTGGGGACTTCGTTCCTGCAGAAGGGGTCCGGAGGCGTTTGCCTCGGACACTCTCCAAAGATTAAGTCAGAGTTGAAGAGAGAGAATATAGAGAGAGAATGTGGGTAGGTTAGTTACCAATAAATGCTGTGTCCCTGTTGTATTTATAGTGGATGTTGGTTCCTCTCTCTCTTGGTTCTCTTCCGCGCTTGTACTTTGTGGATGATCCCGAGATTATGCTTGCGGCCGCATTTAATGTTCCTGTCAGCTGTCGCATGATTGTCCTTGCTCGTCCCATCAGCCATACCCTCTGTTCCACGCTCAGGGTCTCGTGGTCCCACTCTCACCACGCCTCGCGCCGTTTGAGTGGCTGCAGGCTCGTCTGAGTGGGCCTTTTGGGCCTAGGGTCTTTATGGGCCTTGGGCTTTAGAGAGAATCCTACCCAGCCCAACATAAACCCTTAATCACTTCGTTTATTATAAACTGGGCCGATACTACAGTGCCGCAGTAAAAATGGCGGCACCGGTGCCGCGATTTTTGATTGGTCCACATCGATGATGACATGACACTGATTGAATGTATTAAACCGTACAACAAACTCAATAACCAACTAACCACTAACCGGCAGAAATTGCTATTGGCCAGATGATCGAAGATTTCTCTGTTTCCGTCTCTTCCGTCTTCCATCTCCGAATCTGTTTATCATTTTAATAAACTGTTCCTTGACCCATTAATCAATTTATAATTCTTCTCACTTTTGATTTTCTCCGGGAACAGAAAAAGAAACCCAAAACAGATGCAATTTGTTGTCTCCCTCTCTCTCTTGCTCCGACGGACTATAAGCAGCAATTCCGACGAGCTTCTCCTTCTTTGATTCATTCTCCAGATTCTGCCATACGCGAGCCTAGCCCAAACACAGCTCAGACAAGGCTGCCGCCACAGTATTCTGATTCAATAGTCTGCGTCCATGGGATTCTAGACCTGAAATGAAGGGCGAGGAATCCAATCCGACAAGGTTTGTGACGCAGTCGGAGGACATTTATATTTCGGTTTGGCTTGGGATCATGTGGATCCGATTGCGGTGAATCAGTTCGACGGAGACGGAGGATGGGCATGAGCGACCGTTGGACAAATCGCCGGAACTTTAGGTGTTTTGAGCAACGGAGAGGGAGGCTGAGAGAGACACAGAACTGTCTCTGTTACTTCTCAATCTCTGATTGTAAAAAGAGTGGATTGATCGAGAAAAAAAAAACAGAACAAACAATTTAGCAATTGGCGGGATGGGCAGATGTTTGGGGTCATGGGTGGGTGGGTGATTAATGGCCGATGGGTTTGGGCTGGGTTTTAATAAATTTAAGGAGTCCACGTCATTTTCTGGTTGCATAAGTGGACCAATTAAAATTAAGCGGCACCAGTGCCGCGATTTTAATAGCGGCACTGTAGTATTGGCCTATAAATTGGCATGGGTGCCAAAAATACAATCTATACATAAGAAGCTTAGCCCCTTTAAAATGACTTTGGCGAAGGTGTCATAGCTAGGTTTTCATTTTTCAGCTTACGAACATAACTCGTTAGGTCTCATTCAACTCCACTATAAGGCATAAAGCCCAAACTTAAATCCAGCCCGGAACCCAACCCGCCCAAACCGTCTCCTCCATAGCCGATTGGCCGCCGAATTTTTTGATGGAAACTCCCATGTTTTGCGAATCGCGTCGAATTTCTCTAAGCCGCCGCGTCTCTTCTGAAGGCTGAACGTGGTTGCTGAAGGTCGCGTCGCTGTACTCACAATGCTAGCGCTGAAGGCACTATCGACTTCCCGTCTCGGAAATCGATGGTTGATTCCGGTGGGGGTTTTCCCCATTTCCCCCTTCTCTGAACTGGCAGGACGGTCAACAAGTTCAAGCTCTACATGTTTAGTTGACTGTCTGATTACAAAATTCGAATTCCCCGAAACCAAAGCCCTCTCCATCGCTGCTCGATTTCCCCGTCTCAAATCTTCCCAAAAGCCCCAAGCTTTGTTCGAGTTCCTGCGAGGCCTAGGGTTCTCTCTTGACTGTATTCAGTCTACTGTCTCTGGGGCTCCGCAGATTCTGTTCGCTAACGTTGACAAGAACCTTAAACCCAAGATCGAGCTGCTTCAGAAATTGGGTTTCGAGAGTCCTCGTCTTGTTAAGTTCCTCTCTAAGAATGGTGCTGTGTTAACTGCTAGTCTGGAGAAGAAGCTGCGTCCTCGAGTTCATATTTTGCTGGAAACTTTCCATCAGAAGGATGTGCTTAAGGCTATTGAAAAATGCAGTTGGCTTGCATTTATGTGCCCACATTCTAGATTGCTGTCGAACCTTGCTTTGTTGCAGAGCTGTGGCATTGTTGGGTCTCAGCTCTCGATGCTGTTGAAGATGCAGCCTAGGTTGTTCATTAGGACAGATTGTAAAGTTAGAGACATTGTTTCGAGGACGTTGGGTTTGGGGTTTTCAGTGGAATCACGGATGTTTATACATGGGATGTCTGCTGTTAGTGCCTTCAGCGTGGCAACACTTGACCGGAAGTTTGCTGTATTCGAGGGTTTTGGGTTTTCAAGGAGTGAATGCATTGCAATGTTCAGAAGATGTCCGACCATGCTGGGTCGCTGTGATGAGAAGTTAAGTTCTGGCTTGGATTTCTTTTTGAACACCGTGAATTTGACAAAGGAGATGGTGGTTCGTGGTCCTGCACTGTTGATGTATAGCATGGAGGGAAGAGTTATTCCTCGATATCGAGTTTTGAAGACTATGGAATCAAAGTTTCTGTTCAAGAAGAAGCCAAGCTTTGGCTATGTTATGCGTCTTACAAATGAAAGATTCGTGGAAAAGTTCGTATTCATGTATCCAGAACTTTCAGAGGAACTATTAATTGTTTACAATGGTCGCAATGTGGATTCCTCTGCAGATGCAGCTTATTCATAGTTGTCAGTGATTTGATTTCATCCAGCCACCTCACCTGGAGACCTTGTTGCAAATGCTTTTGATGCGAAAGATATGTTGGTGATTTGAAATTTTGTTGAGGGTCCATGGTTCTTAGAAGAATGGAATGGAATTGCAGATGTAAAGTGATCATCTTGGACATTTACTATTCATCTTGTGGCGAAGTTGACAGCAAGAAAACCTTTGTGGAGGCCATCAGTATTGCAATGATTTTATCAACAAGTTTACTTACTCATATTGTCCAGAGGATGAAAGGGAGTGGCTGCTGTATAACCTGGATTAGTCTCGTGAGAAGAAATGTATGACCAATCAGTCGACCACCTCCCCTTCATTGTCTATGTTTTCCCCCCTGTAACTGTAAGGTTTCTAACCACTTATGGATAGTACAAACTACAAATTTGAGCTCAGGTGACATGGTCAATTAGGTTAAAATTTTCTTAATGCTGCAATTTCTGATGATGTATGGTATTCATTCAAACATTTCTTATTGAAGCAAGCTTGTTGAGTATGTTATTTCTTGCTAGTGTCACGACCAGATGTTTGCTTCTTTCGAACTCTGGATCCCCATTTGTGCACTTAGCTCATCCAATCCAACCTGGTATCAACTTGTGTATAGGTGTCAGTGTTTGAATCTGATCCAGATACTTCACCTGGATGAGGCTCCAAGCTTGTTGCCAAAGCTTTTGATGTAAGGTATTGCGATTTGAAATGTTGGGCATTTCCTATTTTATTGTCCTGTAACATTAGTACATCGAACTAAGAAAAACAATGTGTGTTCTTGGTATTATGATTGGGTTGTCAATGATGATTGACTGGGTGCTAGAAACTAATTTGATCATGCGGTGAAGATGACAGCAAAAAACTTTTGTCGATGCCCGTCAATATTGTTGATGCAATGATTTTGTGACCAGACTGCCACCCACTTCAACATTCTTTGCCTGACCTTATTCCTGGTAGGTGTTTTAGTAGAGGAGAAAGTCGATAAAGAAATATACTGAAACAAGCATGCCAAAGAAGAAAAAGTATCCTTCATCGGATTCTGTGCATGCTGCTACGAAAGAATTCTTGGAGAAAGCTGTCTGTGAGATTGTTGGAGCGTAAGCAGGCAGCTTCAAAGGACCCATACAAATTGACAGTGGCACAACAGATGAGGAAGAAGCACCTGGGGACTAATTTCATCATATGTTCTGGTAAACATCTGCGAATTCTCTTAGCAAGACCTCATGTTGTTCAGCTATACTCCTTGGTTGTTTGAACTTCTTGTGGTTTATGGTGAATGTAAGTGTCAAATTGGTTTGAAACTTTTGAATATTTCAGACTCATGGGAAATCCAGTCAAAGTGGAAGAATCCAATATCTTTCCATCTTTATGTTTCTCTGTGTTTGTCAGAGATGCTCTCTGTTTGATATCTGATGATTAAATTCCACAAAGAGAGGCAACACCACACGGGATATGTGCTTAGGGCTTTTCTTTATAGCAAGCTTGTAAAAAACTTATGCATGTGCTGTGCTTTGAGATACATTCCGAAACTTACACGGGGAGCACGTGTCGGAAGCATTGCCTCTTCAGGATTAATAACATCAAAATCGGTGAAAACGATTATTAGAATTGGTGTAGAAGCTAATGTGGTTTATCTACTAGTAGTGTCAAGTCAACTTGAGGCCTCAGAGCCCTGTATGGTGATTTAGGAGCCTATGGTCTATTTGCCCATCTCCTTTCTGTACTTGGTCCTTCTGCGACAGCAAGTCAAGAGTCTATTTGCCCATACCCTTGCTTGATATTGCTCGACCTTCTGTTGCCATTAACTGTTTAGCCGAACCTGGTCCTTAGCTGGTGTTTCTAACATGTTCCATGGTATATACACGTTTCTGGAGTAATCTGGGCCGAATTGACATGCTGGTAACACACTAACACTGGAGTTGACAATTTCTGTCTTGTTCTTGTGTTGCTCAGCTCTTGATAAGCATATGGCAGTGTTGATGCTCTCGGTATTATCGTCTCATGATGGTGCTGCAGAAAGCAGTCGGAGGATGACCGTCCTGAGAAACACTTTCGAGGTTCAATTGCCAGAGGGATTGTGCCGTTTTGCGCAGTTTCCATGCTCCTTGATGGCTAGTTTTTCTGTTATTTGCCTATTTGTAGGGGAAATTAGCATGGCATGTTATGTGAATACCCTTTCAACTGGAGATAGCCCTCATATGCTTGGAAATATACACCATTTGATGTGGCAGTAAAAAGGAAGATTTTCCGGGTAAGGTTCGATCCTTTGAAGTTGATTTTGTTATGCCTGTGGTCAACATATTATGACTCCATGTCAACTTATTCGTCATGCAGGAAAGCTCAGAACAAGGTAGCCCCGTAGCTCTATTCGACAAAGTGCGCAAGAAGTTATCCAATATGAGTAGCAACATAGAATGTTGCTAAATATCAATGTTTATGAATCTGGTTGTGATTTTTTTTTTAGTTTGGTTGGTAATCATTTATATGCTTATTACTAAAGTTCTAATTGATTTCTAGTATGGGGTATCAATGATTTTCTCGTACAAGTAACGATGTTCGTGAGTTGTGAATTCGATTACTTAATATGGTTAGTAACTACTTTTAATGTGGTTCTGAATGGCATCATTATAAAGTTTGAATATGCTACGTAACAATGCGGAGCAGAGGTGATACGGATTTTTACGATGTGATTAGGAGAGAGAGATTTTTGTGTTTATTTGAATTTGCAAATTATTTAAGGCGGAAAGTAGTAAACAAAAAGCCAAAAATAGTCATTCTTCTTACATATAATTAGTGGGTACACTTTTTGCCAAAATTTCTTGCTACTGTTTCAATTCTTGGCCTTTAGTGAGTTGAAACCTAAAACCTTTTCCTGGAGAGCTTCTTTCAAACCCGACATTTTGTGACCGCTCCGACCCACCAGAAGTTATTGGCTGTTGCGCTGGGCGACCATACCTTCCCCCTGCTCCTCTGTCAACTTCACTGTCCTTCTTCCAATTGCCTCCTCTCTGTATGATCCTGCACGCTACGCCCTTGCCGCTTTTGCAGAGAGCTCTTTGGACACACCACCTTCCCATCCGTCACAGCTGCTTGGACACGACACCAGCAACTGATTGTACTGATTCAACAAATACTCCACTGTGCATTGGGTGAAGAGTTGTCCTCTCTGGTTTCCATGCTTTTGAAAGAAGTTTTGGCCCCTTTTGTGCGTTACATTTACGACCCCTTTGGCCCGCTGCTGTTTTTCTTCCACAAAATAATATCTCCATCCCATCAGTCCTTTTTCCCGTCTCCTTGCTTTCCCACTCTCATCCATATCCCAATCTTTTCGGTTCTTCCTCTCTCTTCGACTCATGTCGTTGGGAAAAAATCAGCGGCAACGATGGTGAGAATCCTCCCAGGGAGGACCAGATGCAAGGATCATTGATTTTTCCGTAGGTGATTGACGAAAGTTCGCTCGTAGAGAAGAGTCGAGCAAAATAGTTGATTTTTGTCGATTCTTTCCACTCTCTCTGGTCGAGGTCTATCAACAGCAGCTCTGACGTGGAAGGTCACAACGATGACAAGAATGCTGACGACGGCGAAGGTGTTGGACTTTCACATCTCAGCAACGGTCGGTATGGTTTTCACTTATACAATCGATTTCCGTTTTGCTTGTCTGGACTTTTGTTCCTCTCTTTTCTCCATATCCAGGCCACTAGAGTTTTTAATGGTTTGGTGGCTGTTTGGTTTCCTCGCCTGACGTGTTTGGATCTCAATTGTGGCCTTAGTTGATCGGCGAACTTCAGTGCGGGGCAGACAGGGAGACACGAAAAAGAGGGAGGAGACGCGTTCAAATCTGTTCCACGAGAACGAGACACAAGAATGGCTTGAATGTCAATCTTCAGGTAAATGCTATTTATTTTAATATTGTACTTATTTCGAGCATCGTTCTTGCCTATTCTGATTTAATTTCATGAGTAATTAAAGCCCTTATGCTGCCGTGCAGGTAGATATTAACCACATTCGTGTAAAGCAGCGGAGGCTGCAGGGAAGGTAGGAGGATTTACATATCTCCAAATTGCTATTTTGTGTGTGAATTACCTTTGATTAAATATGGGTGCTTTGTTTCCTTTTGGAACCTTTAGCTGCAGACATGAGGGTGGACAGTGTAGCCACAGTGGTGATTGTCGAAAGCAAGGACTTCGATAAGAAACTTAAGCTTGGAGAAATGGATATGTAGGGTGGGACAACACCTTGACAATTCATTAGGTATTTAACCCCTTCAAATTAGATTGCAGTTCCTCTAACAACCTAAGTACTAAATAAATTAGACATTGCTTTTTTTTTAATTATTTCTGAGTGATATCAATGGAAAATAATAGTTAAACTTACAATTCTACCCGGACCCCTAAAAGACTCTAAAGAAGCCACCCCAAAAATTCAAAAGATTCTAGCTCTACACGAGACAAAAGCATTGCTTGATGTCCTGCTATGTAATGATACATTGTGTCGTTGATCTTGCAAGAATGAAGTGCCAAAATCATTGAACATTCCTTTCAATTATAGCCATTTAGTTCTATGAACTAGGGCGGGCTATTTGGTCCGGGTTTTTTGGTTTTACCCGAAACCGGACCGTATAACCCGGACCTGGACCGGATAGTAAACAATCCAATCCAATCTTTGGGCTTAGATTTGAGGTAAAAAAACCGTTCGGGACCGGATCTAAACTGGATAAAGACCGGATAAGAGAGCTCAACACCCAAAACTTAAGGGTAATTTGCATAAATGGTCACAAACCTTTGCACTTAGTACAAAAATTAACCAACTCCTCACCCTTTCAGGCCTTAGGCCACTCAAATCCCCACAAGCTCAATATAAAATCAAGACCGAATTGGGACCGGCCCGGGTCAAGACCGGACCGAATCAATACCGAACTGTATCCAATCCAATCTTTGGTCCTTATATTTTCAAAAAGACCGGACTGGACCAGATCAATTTGGGCCAATTTAACCAGATCGGACCGTATAGCCACCACTACTATGAACAAAACTTGCATAAATTGGTAGTTTCTTTTTTAAGGTTATGATTTTGAGACTCTGGACATACATTGCATGTTCAGTTTCAGTTATATAATAAGTCTTACATATTTGATGATTACTTGATGCGGGAATGGTTTTTATTGTTGTACATTTAAACAAATTAGAGGTTTGCCAGGTCCGTGTTGTTTCTCTCGGGTTTTCTTTTCCTTTTCTGCTGCTCTAAGATTGGAGTCTGAACTTAAAGACTGAAGTCTCTACTCTCTTATCTGTTTAATAGGGGCGGTGGGAGTCCTCTGTCACTGGTATTTGGAGGTGGGTATATCAGATTCTCAAATGACTTTGTACCTAAATTGTCGTCTGACGTGCTTAATTTAGAAGGAACTAATGACAGATTGTAAAAACCCAGCATTATTGGTTTACCATACTTTGTAGAGATTTGGAGAAGCAAAGCAAGCAACCATCGATAGTCTCCTACATGGAGAGGGTCAAGGAGATTACGAAAAACAGCTGGAAACAAGATGGCTCATGAAACGGATATTAAAAGAAACTACGGAATTGCAGCTGGAGAGCAACTCCATTAAACAACGCAGTCCTATTCAACATGAAAAGCCTTTTCAGTTGACAGTCAGATCAGGTGATGGGAGTAGAAGCTTGATTTGATGTGAGGTGTCATCTTGGATAGTCATAGTCAATGGATATACTGTTGGGGATTACAGGTGGTGGCTCCTCACAGATGAAGTTATTGTAGGTGGAACTTTTCAGCTTTGGTACGGGTGATTCTACTTAGCTTACTATGAAGTGTGATCTTGCCATTGTAGATTAGATAGTGAACTGTAAATAATTTTATAATTACAGGTTGCTGCAGAATCAGAAAGTGAACTTACCAAACTAGAGGTTGCAACTCTGTTTTCTTTACCCTTCTAGTGTGAAATGGGATTTTCCTGGCCTATATATATGATTGATTTGTCATTATTGGACTAGATATAGGGGTTTAAATTCTAATATTGTCAATTCTGGATTTAATATTGTATATTCTTACCTGCTTCAGTTTGCAGGTGTTCTATTTGAATGGGATCTAGGAAGGTATCCCATTCCATGAATATTTGAGTTCATTTATACTTGGAGATGCTTAGTACAGACTCCCCTTCTATTAAGGCGCTTATAATCATTCTTGCTTTGCGTACTTCTTCCTTCAAGCATAATTTCCATAACATGTATTCATTTATACACAATTTGCATACATAGAAGGATGTGTCACTCATACCCTTATTGGAAGTGTTGTCATTGATGTTTGTCTACCATTTGTATTTAATTATATTGGTCCATTTTCTTTCAATGGAAGATAGCCAATTTCAACTAAGAAGCTATCCATTCGGAACATATGGTTCTTGCTTTTTGTATATCATTTCTCATTATTTTTGTTATGAATATATTCAAGCCAAGGAGTTCAGTAGGAAGGTGAACCTTGCGGATGGAAGGACAATCCAAATAAAGAATAACTGAATAAATCCAAGGTTAAGAATAACTGAATAAATCCAAGGTTGAACTTGGAGATGTAAAACTTAAATTTTATTTTGCTCACATTTGGGGGGGGGGGAGGGGGTGAAGACAAATGAACTTGAATAGAGATTTGTAAGGTTTCGGTAGAAAACTCTTACACGTAGTCTTGAGTTCGTATCTCCTAAAGAGAATTATGTCAATAAATTGGATTTGGTAAAAAACTCTTAGATTATGCTTAGGGTTAATAGCATTTTATGCCTCTCTACTATTACTAATTAACAAACATGCCCTTGTACTATAATTTTGCACAAACGTAACCTTCTAATATTACAATATAACGACGATACCCTTCCGTTAAAAATTCTGTGAAGTGACCGTTAAGTTGGGTCAGAAATGACTCAATTACCCCCTAAGTGATTCTATACCATGATCCCATCCACCCCCTTCGCCTGACGAGAAATCTCTACCCCTTCTAACTCTTTCTTCTTTGTCGACGAAGTTGCAACCGGCGACCCTTGAAGAAACGCGTTTGTCCCCGCACCCAGCTCATTGCGAGAGACTCCCGGCATCCAACTAGAAGCGAGAGACTCCTGCGCAAATTTCTCCCTCTTTCTGATCGAAGTCCGTCGTCCCAGCCACTCCTCCTCCTCCTCCATCGTCCCGAGTCGCGACCGCTCCTCCTCCTCCTCCTCCATCGTCCCGACCGCTCCTCTGTCGATCTGTGCCCGACTCCATCACCTGCAATACTTGAAAAATCCGAGATCTATTGTCCCACATTCACACCCCTCCTCTTATGCTTATTGTGAAACTTTCTGGAACCCTAAATCTAGATTGCTCTATTAAATCCAATTCAATGAAACTAGCTTTTTAGGATGAATTGGACAAGCATTAGTATGGGTTTTTTTAACTTACTAGAATTTCAGGCTAGGATGTGTTGTAAATTTTTTGGCTAAATTGGGTTTTCTGTTGTAAATTTGTTTATGGCCGAGAATTGCAGGTGAGGAATGGTCAATTATTAATTTATTATCTCCAAAATAAATTCGTCTGCTTGAGAATCTGTGGGTTGTAGCCTGTAGGCTGTCGCCGAGGGAGTAGTAGAACGCCGTAGGTGGGCGCCGTGGTGGGAAGGTGGACGACGGAGTGGGAAGCTCGATGGACAAAGATGCTCAGGAGACGTACGAAATTAGATTAGGGTTTTTTTAATCCCGCCTGCATATAGTATAATTATATTATAATTCCAGTTTAAGGGGGTAATTGGATCATTTTCCAATTCATTTAACGGATATTTCACATAATTTTTAAAGGAAGGTTATTTTTGTTACGTTGTGATAATAGAAGGGTATGTTTGTGCAAAAATATAGTATCGGGGCACATTTGTTAATTAACAGTAGTAGAGGGGCACAAAATGATATTAACCCTTATGCTATTATTAAGGTATTCGTTAGATTAATATAAAGATTGTTACTCAATGTTGGCTATATCTTTTCTGCACTTAATCATGAGCTCATTAGAATATGATGGCACACAACACTTTGGCGGTCTTAAATTTCTATAGCTCTAGCCTCACCTGCCGTTGTCTCGCGGGCTATTCCTATGTTGATTAATTATGAAACTCAGGATACAAATGTTTCCTACACACACTTTCAAAACTTTTAAAACACACACGGTTGCCAATAAGATAATGATCCGTAATTTACCGTTACCTTAATTAACCACCATACAGTCATGCAAGTGCAGCTTTAGTTCCTACGACGTTGTGTAGCTGGCGTAGGTATTGATTCTAGTTGCATACTAACAGTGGAGTACAACAATACTATTATCCGAGTATTGTGAAACCGTATCAAAGGCTTTTTTTTATACAAAGGAGTATTGCACTTTGAAAGATCGGTTACAGAGAGGAAAAATAAATACATTGGATCTAAACCAAGATCAAAGCAACTCAGGAAAACCGATTGAAATCAAACTGTGCTTGAAAGGTACATCAAAGATTAGCAAGGCAACAAAATGACATCAACCACCCAAACACAACTAAGCTTTTGAACCAAACACAACTCACAACACACTCACAAGCTCTCTTTCTTCCAACCAAACAAAGGTGCAATGAGATCAGCAACAACTTGTCCAATCACAGCGAAATCCATGACAATTGAGTACAACAATGTCATATGTCTCATCCTGTAGATTGCTCAAATACATCAATCACAGTGAATCTAAAAAAACGAGTAGAGAATAACTTCACCATAGACGATGAGACCACCAGACTAGGGCAATCAACCATCACAAGGAGCGAATCAATGTTCCCAATCCCAACCTGTAATCTCCAGATCCCAAGATGAGCTAGCCCATAACAGGAAACCCAATATAGAACGAAGAGCAACAACTAGACTAGAGAGTGAAAAATGGAAGGCCACAACGACAGGAGAAAAAGAATCAAAACGAAAAGTTCGAGGAAAAATCGTCAAACGCCAAGGCAAGAAAAGCACAAATAAAGCGAAAGGAGAAGGAGGTGAGCTGCCACCGGTCACTCAAAGGGAGCCAGCGACAGCCCCTGAAGGCGGAAGAGTGGAGCTGGAGTTAAAGAGAAGGGAGAGCAAAAATTAAAATTTAAGAATGCGAGAGAAGGAGTTTTCATTTGTTGGTTGTTGTTTCCGTATCGAAGATTATACCGAAAAAATCAATAATAAAATATCTTGTAATATCGGATTCAATAGCTTCCTACCACTAAAATCGCCTATGCCGGTTTCGTGTATTGAGGTTGGACCGAGTGGAGCCGTAGCCCTAGCCGTAGGGTTTCTAATTTCTTGAACATTTCACTGACTCGCTTCTGCTTCGCCTGCTGTTCTAAATAGCCTGCTGCCTGATCGCGACGACGCTCTTGTTGCTCCGTCAATCGGCCGCGGCGCCAAGTCATATGCTTTTAGCGGCGTGTTGGCCATCCTCCGAAGGTCGTCGTGTCCCTCTGAAGCTGGATTTAGCCATTAGTCACCGAAGGTCGGACCGCCATCGCTCCGTCTCTGATTCATTGGCGTCAAAAGGCATCATCTTCCTCCGAGGCTGAACCTGGTCGCTGAAGCTCGCGTCGCTGTCACTTTGTACTCACAATGCTAGCGCTGAAGGCACTATCGACTTCCCGTCTCGGAAATCGATGGTTGATTCCGGTGGGGGTTTTCCCCATTTCCCCCTTCTCTGAACTGGCAGGAAGGTCAACAAATTCAAGCTCTACATGTTTAGTTGACTGTCTGATTACAAAATTCGAATTCCCTGAAACCAAAGCCCTCTCCATCGCTGCTCGAATTCCCCGTCTCAAATCTTCCCAAAAGCCCCAAGCTTTGTTCGCGTTCCTGCGAGGCCTAGGGTTCTCTCTTGACTGTATTCAGTCTACTGTCTCTGGGGCTCCGCAGATTCTGTTCGCTAACGTTGACAAGAACCTTAAACCCAAGATCGAGCTGTTTCAGAAATTGGGTTTCGAGAGTCCTCGTCTTGTTAAGTTCCTCTCTAAGAATGGTGCTGTGTTTGCTGCTAGTCTGGAGAAGAAGCTGCGTCCTCGAGTTCATATTTTGCTGGAAACTTTCCATCAGAAGGATGTGCTTAAGGCTATTGAAAAATGCAGTTGGCTTGCATTTATGTACCAAATTCTAGATTGCTGTCGAACGTTGCTTTGTTGCAGAGCTATGGCATTGTTGGGTCTCAGCTCTCGATGCTGTTGAAGATGCAGCCTAGGTTGTTCATTAGGACAGATTGTCAAGTTAGAGACATTGTTTCGAGGACGTTGGGTTTGGGGTTTTCAGTGGAATCACGGATGTTTATATATGGGTTGTCTGCTGTTAGTGCCTTCAGCGTTGCAACACTTGACCGGAAGTTTGCTGTATTCGAGGGTTTTGGGTTTTCAAGGAGTGAATGCATTGCAATGTTCAGAAGAGGTCCGACCGTGCTGGGTCGCTGTGATGAGAAGTTAAGTTCTGGCGTGGATTTCTTTTTGAACACCGTGAATCTGACAAAGGAGATGGTGGTTCGTAGTCCTGCACTGTTGATGTATAGCATGGAGGGAAGAGTTATTCCTCGATATCGAGTTTTGAAGACTATGGAATCAAAGTTTCTGTTCAAGAAGAAGCCAAGCTTTAGCACTGTTATGACTCTTACAAATGAAAGATTCGTGGAAAAGTTCATATTCATGTATCCAGAACATTCAGAGGAACTATTAATTGTTTACAATGGTCGCAATGTGGATTCCTCTGCAGATGCAGCTTATTCATAGTTGTCAGTGATTTGATTTCATCCAGCCACCTCACCTGGAGACCTTGTTGCAAATGCTTTTGATGCGTAAGATATGTTGGTGATTTGAAATTTTGTTGAGGGTCCATGGTTCTTAGAAGAATGGAATGGAATTGCAGATGTAAAGTGATCATCTTGGACATTTTCTATTCATCTTGTGGCGAAGTTGACAGCAAGAAAACCTTTGTGGAGGCCATCAGTATTGCAATGATTTTATCAACAAGTTTACTTACTCATATTAGTCTCGTGAGGAACTATTAATTGTTTACAATGGTCGCAATGTGGATTCCTCTGCAGATGCAGCTTATTCATAGTTGTCAGTGATTTGATTTCATCCAGCCACCTCACCTGGAGACCTTGTTGCAAATGCTTTTGATGCGAAAGATATGTTGGTGATTTGAAATTTTGTTGAGGGTCCATGGTTCTTAGAAGAATGGAATGGAATTGCAGATGTAAAGTGATCATCTTGGACATTTTCTATTCATCTTGTGGCGAAGTTGACAGCAAGAAAACCTTTGTGGAGGCCATCAGTATTGCAATGATTTTATCAACAAGTTTACTTACTCATATTGTCCAGAGGATGAAAGGGAGTGGCTGCTGTATAATCTGGATTAGTCTCGTGAGAAGAAATGCATGACCAATCAGTCGACCACCTCCCCTTGTCTCATTTTCCCCCCTGTAACTGTAAGGTTTCTAACCACTTATGGATAGTACAAACTACAAATTTGAGCTCAGGTGACATGGTCAATTACGTTAGAATTTTCTTAATGCTGCACTTTCTGATGATGTATGGTATTCATTCAAACATTTCTCATTGAAGCAAGCTTGTTGAGTATGTTATTTCTTGCTAGCGTCACGACCAGATGTTTGCTTCTTTCGAACTCTGGATTCCCATTTGTGCACTTAGCTCATCCAATCCAACCTGGTATCAACTCTTCATGTTTGATGATCTTTGAAGTGCTTTTTTTTTAATTGCTTAGCTTTGAAGTTGCAAAGATAAGGAAATCGAAGACACTCTATTTACTACAAATGAATCAAATGAATTATAAACTAATTAACCAACCCTCCCCAAGAAACATGTCATTCCGGGGGTAAACAATGAAACCCATCACCCATCATTCCGAAAGGAATCAGAACATGAAGCAATGGAGAAGCAGCAGGGGAACCCAGAACCGAAACCAGGCGAGCAGCAAAACCGAAGCTGGACGCAGCAGCAGCTGCGCTCGTGGGCGCAACAGCAGGAGACATAACCTGCTGCGACTGGTCTTCATCTTCAGAAGCAGGGGAAGGAGCAGGAGAAGCAGTTCTGGGAGACAACACAACTATAATCACCTTCTGACCTTCCTTGCAATGTCCATCAGCTCCGCTGATGAAGTAGGTCGCGCCGGCTCTCTCCAGCTTCTACCTTGGTGTCCCCGTCTTTGTACTCCTGCAATGGGTTCGCTGACATTGCAGGCGAGGTAAGCTTTCTTCGACACCTCCAGCACCGAGTCCTTCGTCCCGTCGTACTTCCACACTGCAATTTTGGGAAAACAAGAAGCACGAGAGAGTGTATTAGTTGAGAAACAGAGAGTTAAGGTAGTCAATTCAATTGGGAAATTGTGAGGATGAAAAGAACGAACAGAGGGAGTCGCCGATGCGGAAGCGGGTGCGTTGGGCCCATTTGTTGAGGGAATCGGACTCCGACGATGGGATCGTCCAGGCGTCCGACTTCCCTCCCACTGTTATCTCTTTCGCTTCTGTGCAGAAGCACAGGAGCAGCAGCAGAGCTGAAGAAGAGAGCAGAAAAGCTGTCCGAGAGGCGGCGGCGGCCATGGAGATGGTGAAATAGAAAGGGGCAAAGTAGTAATGTAAGAAATGGGGGAGGTGGCGGCCAAATTAGCTGGTTGCTGATTGTTTGCGGACGGAGTGGAGTGCAAACTGTGAAATTGGTAAAGCATTTTATAGTGTGAAAGAGACAGAGGAGGAAGAAGAAGTAGCCGTTATGAGAATGGGCTCTGGCCAGGCTCTGATTCTGCTGCATAAAGAATACAATCACAACGGCTCCTACAATTATCATCTAGTCCTCTTTATTTTTCCAGTTTTCACTTTACACCCCCATCTTTCCTTTCTTATGCTTTACCCCCTCGTTCCATTTGTCAAAGACGCAGGTGACTCCGTGGCATGCAAATGCCACGTGTTAAGTTCGTCTGTGTTTCAATCAACACGTGCCCAAAACTCTTCTCCAGCTCCTCCTTTAAACCTCATTCTAGGCTTCCATGGATTCACTTTCGGTTTTGGTCACACCATCGTCGGAAGAAACCCAGATGGCAGGCGGCGGAGAAGGAGACTGGAGGAAGCAGGCAGACACGCACAAGATGAGCTTGGAAGAAGTGAAAGCTGCCGGAGTCGAAGGCTCGAAGCGGCCACCGGGGCAGAACCCCGGTGGAGTTCTTCACCAGCGCAGGAAGATGCCTTTCAGCACCCCGACCATGGCCGCTGCCGGCTTTCTCGTTGTCGCGGGGATCGGGTACATGGTTCTTTACGCCAAGAAGAAACCGGAAGCGGATGCTCGTGATGTGGCCCGTGTCGCTACCAACACCGCCGATCCTCGTGACACTCATCCTCGCAGATAGATAGGAAAACATAGATTAGTAGTTTGTTAGCTCGTATTCTCTTTTGATTTCGTCATGCTCTCTTAATTACTTCTTTTCTGCAGTTCAATGTTTTGTCACGTTGAAATAACAGGAAACAATGATGCGCTATGTTAAATATTTGGTCCTTAATGCTCTGTATCCTATGCAATTGAAATTGCTGTATTTTCTGTGTTCTGAGAAAGCTGATGACTGTAGACGGTACCGAACAGACTTTCAACGCAGCTCATACTACGCGATCTACATGCAACTATGCAAGATCTACCTCTTGTGATGAAGCTCGATATGCAAGTGTCCTTTCGCCGATTTTTTCACTTGCCAATGGTGAAAAAAGTTCGTAATTCAGACCGGTTTTGAACTCCCAGATTTCGCAAAACTCCACGCCTGTTTAGAACTCCAGAGTTCAAGAAACTCCCTCGTGCCCAGAGGGTGCGACACGAAGAACGACGACAATCATATTGACGAAGGTCGAAGAACGACGACAATCATCGACAGGCAAAACAGGAGATGAACGAAGGTGAACAGTTAAAGGGCTAGTACATCATAATCTCTCGACGACAATTGTCTAAATACAAAAATGAGCAACAAGAGTTTTACACCTGATAACAATTCTTAACTTTTATCTACTAAAATTGTGAATCTTACCCTGTTTGGCTTCAAAATAAAGGAATGGGGGGGAGCACAGAAGGATCGCTTACAAAACCCGGATGATGATTCAATCAATCAATCAATCTTGACGGATGAGTAGATGAGCCTCGTGAACCAGAAGCATGCATAGAAACCGATTGTGCCGGTCAGGACGAAGAACGCATACGAAGCGATCAGCATGTAACCAAAGTACAACACTCCAGAGACTAGCTTCGTGATTTCCAGCTTCGTGAAGAAGTAGAACGTGGCATAGAGGAACAGGTAGACTGCAGAAGATCCTGAGGTGAGGTAAGATCTCCACCACCACAGATAGTCCTCGCTGCACAGCTGGAAGTAGCAGAGCACGACAGTGATCTCAGCGCAGGTGATGATGAGGATGATGAACACCAAGAAGAGGAATCCAAAGATGTAGTAGAACTGGTTCAGCCATATCGAGGTGAGGATGAAGAAGAGCTCGATGAAGACGGCTCCGAATGGGAGTATTCCACCGATCAGGATCGAGAAGGCAGGGTTCATGTACCAAGCTTGCTCCGGAATCTGTCTGGGGATTTTGTTGGTCTTTACTGGATCTTCCAGAGCTGGCTTCTTGAATCCAAAATAGCTTCCGACAAAGACGAGTGGGACCGAGATACCAAACCACAAGAACACCAAAGCGAACATTGTACCGAAGGGGACAGCTCCGGATGACTTCTGGCCCCATATGAGAGCGTTCAGGACGAAGAAGATGGCAGAGATGATCCCAGGGAACATGATTGCAGTTCGGAGGGCAATTTTCTTCCATTCGCCACCTTTAAATAGCTTGTAGAGACGGGAAGATGCGTATCCAGCAAACAGGCCCATGAAGACCCAGAGCAAAAGCATGGCTGTCATGAGGCCACCTCGGTTTGATGGGGAGAGGAAACCGAGAATGGCAAAGAGCATAGTGACAACGATCATGCAGAAGAACTGGACACCAGTTCCAACATAGACACAGAGTAGTTCCGAGTTCATTGGTGGCCTGAAAACATCGCCATGGACGAGTTTCCATCCGGTCTCTTCTTGAGCCTCTTCTTGGGTCTCTAGTTCGTTGTACTTGGAGATGTCGCGGTAAAGTGTCCTCAACATGATCATTGCTACCATGCCTGAGAGGAAGAGAACAATCATCAAGGAGTTGACGATTGAAAACCAGTGGATTTGATCATCACTCATAAGAAGATATGCATCCCATCTTGATGCCCATTTCACATCGCTCTCCTGGAAAGAGATTATATATCAGTATTCGAATTAGGAGAACCAGCAATCCAGCATGCACATTTCTATCATCTAAGCCAGGAGAAAAATAATATATCTGCATCACAGAATTCAAGGAAAAGCTCACCTGGAATTCAACATCATAAGTGAAAACAATTTCCTTTTTGTCATCAACTTCCTGAGGAGTGTTGGAGTTGATAACAGTACGCTTAGTATGAGGATCACAGGTGGTTAGACGTGTCTTATCCTCGGCCCATTTCCCCTCATATTCGTGCTTAATACTGGAAAGTGTAATGCTTGGGTCAGGACACCGGCGGTAAGCTAAAATGGTACAAGAGAAATTGATGCACAGAACACCCAGAATGAAGCAGTAAGGAAAGGAACTTGAATAACCGACCTGTATGGCTTCACTTCAAAACCCACAATTCTTGCAGAGTCAGTTTGCAAGTCTCTGTGAAACTTTACAGTGAATGCTAAGTGGTTGTGGATGAAATATTTTTCCTCTTTGCTCTGCGTACAATCAGAAACGGTAAGACAAAGCAATAACAAGACTGGCATAAACAAAAACAAAGTTTTAAAGAACTGTCCATTTACCCCACTGTATTGGCCTTTGAATCCAACATGGTAACCAAGTTGAAAGATAGTAGGTGAGAATTGCTCAAAACGCCGAAACCCCAAGCCTCCCTCATGTTTACTCCTGCACAAGTTCCGCCAAGATACCCAACGAATGCGAGAATGCTCCGCAGAATCACCCCACCAAAACCTGGCCACGTGCCTGTCTAAAAGCCGACAGAGGGAGAGAGGGAGTCTAAAGCAAGACATCACGTGCAGAGGTAAAGCCAAAGCAACTGATTTAATCAACGTCTCCCTAGCAGCCCAAGATAAGGTTTTCCGTTTCCACCCCTGAAGACGGTCCAACAGTTTCTCCTCCAAGTACCTAAACGTAGCCATTTTCGACCGAGCGATAAGCGTAGGCAACCCCAGATACTTATCATGGACTCCCACCGCCCCAACACCTAAAATTGCAGCCAAAAACTCCTTATCCTCCTGGACAACATTCTTACTGAAGCAAACTGCCGATTTATCCAAGTTCACCCGCTGCCCACTTAACTCCTCATATTCATTTAGAACCTCGATCAAGTTTTCACACTCCTGGAGAGTACCTCGCAAAAATAAATAAGAGTCATCCGCAAAGAACAAATGCGAGATACGAGGCGCACGAGGGGCCACTTTCACGCCCTCCAACTTCTTTTCTGATATAGCCTTGCGAAGAAGGGCCGCGAAGCCCTCCGTACAGAGCACAAACAGAAGCGGCGAGAGAGGATCCCCTTGCCGAAGCCCCCTCGAAGGAGTGAAAAAACCCGAAGGAGTGCCATTCATAAGCACTGAGAAAGATGAAGACTGGAGGCATTCCCGAATCCACCCCTGCCAGGTAGAATTGAAGCCCATCTTATCCAATACCGCAAGAAGAAAGGGCCATTCGACTCTATCATAGGCCTTTTCCATGTCAACCTCTAGAGCCATGTACCCTTTCTTTCCCCGAGTTTTGATCTTAAGATAATGCATCAATTCATGCCCCAGGAGCACATTCTCCACGATTTGACGCTCCCGGATGAAGGCATTCTGACCATCAGAAACAATCACCGGCAACAGGCAGGCAAGCCTTTCTGCCATAATTTTGGTAATAATCTTATAAACGAACTGGCAAAGGCTTATAGGACGCAGCTGCCTCATAGTTTCCACATTATCAACCTTGGGAATCAACGTTAGCCACGTATGGTTGAAACTGCGGAGCATCCGACTAGTAGCAAAAAAGGAGCACACTGCTGACGTCACTCATTCACCCACAATATCCCAAAATGCCTTAAAAAACTTCCCCGTGAAACGATCAGAGCCCGGAGCCTGTTTAGAACCCATGGCAAAGACGGTTTTCCGTACCTCGGAGGGGAGAACCTCAGCAGTGAGGCCGGCATTCATCTCTGGAGTAACACACTGGGCAATAGGCAAGGCTGCCACCCGCTCAGTCATATTATCCACCAGGTTTTCTGACGCAAACAGGTGCTGATAGAAGGAGGTAGCTATGGCAGCTTTGCCACCCTCATCAGAAACCCATTCCCCATCCTCATTCCGAAGGCCAGCCACAAAGTTTCTCTTACGACGGGCTCTCGTCACAGTATGAAAGTAGGAGGTGTTCTTATCACCCTTTTTTAGCCAGTGGACCCTGAATTTCTGCTGCCAAAATAATTCCTCCGCCTCCCACTGCCGACTCAATTCCACCTCCATGTCTCGAATCACGTCCCAGTCAATGGGATGAATCGTCTTGATCCTATCAATCTCCCCTTGAAGAGTTCGGATATTCCGTAAGGAATTCGTCGTACCCGCTCTACTCCAGTCATACAAGAGATGACGAAGTTTTTTCAGGCGCTCCCAAAGGCAGAACATAGGGGTCCCGTGGATGGTCTCCTTCCAGACATAAGATACCATCGCCCTTACTTCAGGGTTATCAGCCCAACGGGCATCGAACCGGAAGAGGGGCCGACAGTGGCGTTTATACGGTTTATCCGCCAGGAGGAGAGCTCGATGATCGGAACCTTGGTCCGTAAAATGTTTAACCAGGGTTTCAGGGAACCGATCTAACCAGGACTGGGAGCAGAGGGCTCTATCCAACCGCTCCCTAATACAAGCACTGCCCATTCTCCTATTCGTCCAAGTGAAAAGGTCCCCTTGGTACCCAGGATCATGGAGGCCCAACTCATTAATAAAATTCCGCAAGCTTACCGAGTTATTGACATTCCAAGGGTTACCCCCATCTTTTTCACTATCAGTCAGGATCGTATTAAAGTCACTAATAACCACATAAGGAAGATTGAAATTAGAACAGACTGCCTGAAGGTGGGCCAGTTGGGCCGTTCTTCGAGTAACCGAGCAGCTAATATAAACACAAACCACGATATAAGAAAAACCAACTTCATTAATCTGGGAGCAAATACAGAAGCTGGAAGAATAAAAAATAGAAACATCAACATCGGGGGACCAAGCCAGCACTAAACCACCAGACCCCTCGACCGCATCAACAAAAAAACACCGAAAAATATCAAATCCTAAGCCCCGCATACGAAGGGAGACAACACGCCGGCTAGAACGTGTTTCTGAAAAAAAACACAAGCTCCGGGCTATTAGAACGGACCAGACCCACTGCCGTTTGGAATGTGAGAGAAGGCCCTATGCCTCTCACATTCCAGGCAAGAAGCCTCATTTATCCGGCTGGGGCCACTCCAGGCTGGCTTCCTCCACCTTCTCATTCTCGACATTATCTTCGACAAACTGTTTTTTGGGAGTTGGCGGAACTCCCACCTCCCCATCCACTTGATCCAGAGGCCGCTTCAAAATCCCAGACGGCGGATTGTGCATATTGGAACCATACTCATCAAGGTTCCCAATATCTACACCTGCAGCACTGCCGTTCTCAGCCCCTGACTTCCCATCTTTAGAATCTTTCGCCTCCTGATCTCCTCCCGCATCCTGAATATTTAAACCCACCTCGAAGGCGGCTACCACTTGGCTTACACGGCCCTTCAATGGGTTGCAGCTCTTAGGTGACGCCATCGACGGGGTTCTCTTCCTGATAACAAAATCTTGCGTCTCCTCCCCCGACTCCGACCCTGCTGCTCCCACGTCCGCCAAGAGGGGAGAACTCCTAATGCCACCGGCGGGAAGGTGGCAAGGGTGCCCCACCTCCCCCAGCACATCACTATCCCTTCCCATCCCTTCTTTCACTGCCTGCGAGGAATCTCGAGTGCCAAGGTGGCAAGGGTGCCCCACATCCCCCAGCACATCACTATCCCTTCCCATCCCTTCCTTCACTGCCTGCGAGGAATCTCCAGTGCCAAGGCTAGAGCCCGCGACATCACCGTGAGCCTTCCTCAGTTTCCGACCGCCACGAGCAACCCCCACTCTGGGCTTCACTTCTCCTATCACAGTCGCCGCCTGGGGACGTGGCACAGCCCCCTTATCCTCAATACCCACAGCCACCGATATGGAGCGTGGCACAACACCCGCCCCCTCGTTTGCTAGGGGCTGGGATTTCGATCGGCGGGGTTTCCTGTTCTTGCGCGGTACATCCCCAACTCCCACTGGAAGACCAACATCATCCATTTCCACCGAGGGCTTCTCCTTCTTTAATCCTGAAGCCGCCTTGACCTTCCTGTGAGGGACCTCGCTCCCATCCACTTTGCCCCGAGGGTTATTAGTGTGACGAGGTTTCCCCTTCCCCTGGGCATTATCAGCTTCCATCGGCGGACTAGGGTTTTCCGCTCGCAACATCTCGTCCCCAGCCTGCACCCCCGGTACATCGAGCATATCATCATCAGAATCAGCATCCAAAAGGAGCCGACGGCGCCGCGTTTCAGCCTGGATCCTGACGAACTGATCCTCCTCTGAGCCGGCTTCCGCTTCCATACAAGCTGGAGGGTTGGTCTGCGGGCTGGCGTGCCTCGGGTGGGTGGAGGGATCAAGTTGCGGGCCATCTTCCTTAGCACGTGTCAACTTCGGCCGAGTCTTCCCAATGCGGACTTTGGGGTGACGGTGAAGGATCACCCTCCCCGGACTGCCACGCCGGGTCGGCGATCGTTCCTTACTCTTCCCTTTGTTCACAGTCAACTTCGCCGCCAATGGAGCCTCCCCTGCAGCAGCACTCGAGGGCTCGGCCTGCGGCACATTCTTCATCCCAGGGCCCACCTCCCCTCGATCCGCCTTTATATTATTATGGTGCTGGCGGTTGACCCACACCGACCTTCTGGGACCCCCTGGAAGGGGATCGGCTCCTTCCTCATCATAGATCTTTCGTCCCACTTGCTTGGTGATCATATGCGGTCCGAACCGCTCTTTTCCATTAGGTGGATCATAGCTACAATCGCGGCGAGCATGGCCAACTCGACCACAGCGGAAGCAAAAATTCGGCAAGAATTCGTACTTGAGGCTCACCCAAAAGCTATCCACCTCCTCACAGACCACCATTAATTGCGATCGAAGGGGCTTTGAGAAATCAATAATTGTGTTAACTTTGATAAACCGCTCACCAGAATCTTTGCAAGCAAAGATCCCTGAATCCAGAACTTTGCCCATGGTTGCGGCAATTAACTTCTGCCCAAACAGCTTGGTACAAAGGTCCTCCTGAACACCCCACAGCTGGACACGAAAGGGAGCTCTCGCCATCTCCTCGAATACTCCTTTCGAGATAACAGGGGACCATTGGCGGAGAGTCAGCAATTGATCCTTGATAATCCACGGATTTATGGAAAGAGCCCATTGCTTGGCTTCCTCATTCGGCATTATGATCTCAAAGAGCCCCTGTTTCGTCTTCATCACCTTGAGTTGGCCGCGTATCTTCCAGGCATCCAGCAATCCTCCGCGGAGCTCCATAGTAGTGACGTGATCGTTGGTGAAAAGCCGCCCCAGAAGGGTACGAGAAGCACGAAAACGGGTAGATTGCACCTCCTCGAGGGAGAATTGAACCACTTGATCATCCGAAACGTGGGCCATTATTTGCAACTCCTGACAACAAGAGAGGCGAATCGGGTTAGCTGCCAAAGATACACCCCCTGACGTCGCACTCACCAACACATCGGGATCGGGGTATCGCCAAGATGAATAAATTCTCGACAAAGCGAGGCAAGAAGGAATAAAAGAACTTTCATTAGGGGGCAACCAATTACCTGAGCAGGTTCTCAACGAGGGCCAGAGAACAGGAGCTTCAATGGTAGCAGGTCGTCCACAAAGCCGATAGCTTGAGGAAATCGGCGTTTGTGAAAGGATTATAAATAGATCCCCCAAGTCCCACTGTAAGCCGCTACGTAGAGTCACGGTACAGTTAGGAGTTGGAGTTTGACTAGGATTAGGAATGTAAAGAAACGATGCAGCACGGCTTGGATAATCTCGTTGGGAGCTGATATATCGGCCCCAATCCAATATCTCCGAGATACGAGGGAAATCCAAACCGAGCTGGTTCGCCCAATCACGGCAAATCCCAATAATTCTGGGTTGGGGAGATACGCCCCTCTTTCCCTTACCGATCGGAGTCCCAGCCAACTCGCCGGCTGGCCTCGTCGGAGAAGAGAATGGTTGAGTAATACGAAGCGTACGAATTTCCGCCGCCTCTGCAGCAAAATCACGACCACCTTCCCCAACCTGAACGTCCCTGCGTTTCCCATTGTTGTTTATATCAATAAGAGGTTCCCTGACCATAGCTAACAGCGAGTTCACGCCTACCAGGTCCTTCGATGCGGGAATATTTGAACACCATTCAGCCGTGGATAATAGTGAGATCTCGCCTACCAGGTCTACCGAGGAAGGAAGCCGAAATCTCCACTCCCTAAGCCAAACATGCCTGCTTTTCTTCGCAGGGTTGGGATTTACATGAAACCCAACGTGAACGTGAGAGGGACCGCGATCCTCGTGCCAAGGTCGGCTGCGTTTGCGCTTCAAACGAGCAGGGCAGCGCCCCACCCCATAGAGGCTGATAGGTACCATTGGTTGTCGACCACATCGGCGGCGCACCTGGCGAGTCTTTCCATGCCCACGAACAGAATCCACGAGCAGTACTTGAGTCAGCCAGATGCAGCCGCCCCTTTGATTCTTCCAGCTGAAGAGGAAGAGGGAAGAAAAGAACGTCAGAACCAATCCACCCAGCCATCGCAAGCTTTCGAGGAGAGAGGCGAGAGCATCTCTCATGTTTTTTTTTTTTTTGTTGGGGGTTGTTCAGCTCTACTCCTTGATTGTTTGAACTTGTGCTTTATTGTGAATATTATTGTCAAGCTGGTTTGGAACTTTTGAAAATTTCACCTTTGGTAACTTCTACCAAAGTGGAAGAATCCAATTTCATTCCATCTTTATGTTGGTGCGGCTGCTGGTGCCTTTTCGAGCTTCTCCTACAAGAACCCAAGAATTTGGTGAATCGAAAGAGCAGCAATCGATTAGAATGAGGATCGATGCTTAATTTGATCTGAATGAAAGTAGAATAAGAAGGTCGAAATGGTTATTGGGCTAAAAGCCCAATTAGTCTTTTATATTTGGCCTGTCGAAGATTCCTTGGTAAAACGATGACGTTCGAATTAGTTCTTCCGCCTCCTGTATCTTGTTCTTCCTGTTCTTATGTAAGTCTGCAAAAAGAATTGCTCTGCAAAACAGAGATGAATTACAGTATAAAGGAAATTGAAGAACAAAGATGAACACAGGGATTTTTACGTGGTTTCCGATACTGATAAATCAGTATCGACTAGTCCACGGTCAAAGGCACTCTGTTTTGAGTCCTTTGACGTTATTATGATATTGTGTTTCGGATTACAGATTACAATCAATCTCTGAGTAACTCCCTGTTACTTGATCAGAACTTCCAATCAGAATTCAGCTCCCCGCCGGAATTCCAATTGCCCTTGACTAACCCTACCTCCCAGATAGCCACCTCTCGTTTCTTTCAATTTTACACAGCCAAACCCTTGTTTCTGCTATTTGAAAGTTTGCTTTCGAAAGGTATCAATGACTAATCAGACTTTGTTCCTATATACTCCTCTTTTTCCAACCGTTGCCTTCAGATCCTATAGGATCAGTCTCTTGCCTGATTTCCCGCCTCATTACTGCTTTCTTCTTTTGGTTCTTGCTCGGTGTCCTTCAGTCAACCTTCCCATTTTATCGATGCCAGCAGACACAGCTTCCTCCAACAAACTCCCCCTAAGCTTGTCGCTGGCTTGAATCCTTTACTAGTAACTCCCTGCACACATGTAACAAACACCAAGTGCAGTCTGCTCCAAGAGGAAATAATGTAATGATGAATAATTTACGACTACAGAGTAATCATAACCTTCAAAGTTTTATTCATCTGATTTGCAAAAGAAAATTACAGAACTTCCCACAAAACATCGACCATTCCCCTTAAACGTTCTCTAGAAAGGATATTTAGGTGGGGACTCATACTCAGACACCTCCTCATCATCCCTAGACTCATCTGGCTCAGAGTCAGAACTTATAGGATCGTTTATTGATCCAGACTCGTATACAAACTTAGGCCACATCAGATCTTCCTTTCTAAGTTGTTTCAGTTTGGCAGACTGCTCTTTCTCACCAGAGTATTCTCGTTTGATTACAGTTACAGCAGCGTCAACTAGTGCTCCAGCTAGTCTCCCAGACGCATACTGAGCAGGACCAGTAATGGCATACTGTGCAGGACCAGTAATGGCATACTGTGCAGGACCAGTGTTGACTCCCCCTGAGCCAGTGATAGGCTTTCGGGGCCCAACGAGTGCATCGAGCTTAGCAAGCACATGCTGTGGACGAAGATCGTCCAGAACATTGCATTGATGCAGTTTATCATGCATATCAATATTAAGATAGCGCAGAAGATGAGTGATCTGGGGTCCAAAAGGCAGAGAACCTCCAAAATATTCCGTCCCAAAGCGAATCATATGATGAAACATGAGTGTTGCATAGCTGAGTTTAGTGCCAGCTCGAGCATGAGAGAGAATCCATAGGTCAGAAGTATTGAGAATATCAGTACTCGAAAGATCTCGAGGTAGGAAACTTCTGGTAATAAAGAAGTGTAGAACCTTAAGATCATCTGGCAGACGACCAGCAGCCAGACGAGAGGGAAAGTACTGACCGATGTCACGAGTGACGGATTTCAATGCATGCACCAGATCGAATCCCAGATCCCCAAACTCACTGTCTGTGCCAGCTTGGAGACCACCGTGAGGGACATCAAGAGCTGTTGCCAGTAGCTCAGGAGTAACCTTGATTTCGAAATTGAACACCATGGTTGTGAAAAACTTAGGGACAGTTCCAGGACCGCGCTGTATGTTCACATAGAACAATCTCACGGCTTCTGGACAATAACTGAACCTCATATTTTCCACCAAAGACTCCCACCCCAGACCGTGAATAAGAGCAGGAATATTCATGTCATACTTGGAGAATCCAGAGGGATGGATTGACAGAGAGGGAAAGATTGGACGATCACGAAATCGTCTCAGATATCGTGCATAAACAGCAGCATTGCAAAACCCTTTGTTGTTGAACACAGCAGAGTGTTGCAACTGAGCGTTTGTGGGAGCCATTTTTGAGCGAGATAAGGGAAGTGTTTGGAAGTTTGAAAGACTGCGTTGGTTTTGCAGAGAAACCCTATGCTTATATACTAGAGGAGGAGTTAAGAAAAAGGAAGGTGTATCAGAGTTAGAGGAGTAAGAATTCCAAGAGATGGAAAGAGAATATTTTGATTTAGGATATCCGGAAATCAAGAGGAAGGGATTTCATCGAGAACAAATAAGCCAAGTTCATTTCTTATAGACAGAAATTTTTCTATTCCTAAAGGTTTAGTGAAAATATCTGCCCATTGCATGTCTGTGCTTACAAATTCAAGTTTAATCTTTCCATCTTGAACTAGGTCTCGAATGAAATGGTATCGAACCTCAATATGTTTTGTACGGGAGTGCTGAATGGGGTTTTTGGTCATATTTATAGCACTAGTATTATCACACAGAATGGAGGGAGACCCTATTTCCAAACCATAGTCCTGAAGTTGGTATTTTAACCAGAGCAATTGAGTACAGCTAAGTCCAGCTGCTATGTATTCTGCTTCAGCAGTTGACAAAGCTACTGAACTCTGCTTTTTACTAGCCCAGGAAATCAGAGAGGTACCAAGGAAATGACATGTGCCTGAGGTGCTCTTACGATCAAGAACACAACCAGCATAGTCAGAATCACTATAGCTGAGAAGTTCTAGGCTAGAGTCCCTAGAGTACCATAATCCCAACAGCTTAGAGCCAGACAGATACCTAAATATTCTTTTCACTGCAGATAGATGACTCATTTTAGGACAGCTTTGAAAACGAGCACAGACTCCTACACTATACACAATGTCAGGTCGGCTGGCAGTTAGGTATAACAATGAACCTATCATTCCTCGATATAGTCTAACATCGACTGAAACCCCACTTTCATCTTTTGATAATTTTGAAGTTGATCCCATTGGGGTTTGTGCTGACTTAAGATTAGTTAAGTCAAATCTGGTGAGCATATTGGATAGATATTTTGACTGACTAATGAATGTACCCTTGTTATTTTGTTTAACTTCCAGCCCTAAAAAGTGTTTTAACTCTCCCATAAGGCTCATCTCAAAGGCCCCTTTCATGGTTGCTTCGAATTCTTTACATAAGCTTGAGCTTGATGAACCAAAAATGATATCATCGACATAAACTTGAACCAATATTGTATGACTTTTAACAGATTTTATGAAAAGAGTTTTATCCACTGATCCTCTGTGAAAACCATCACTGATCAGAAAATTACTTAACTTTTCATACCAAGCTCTAGGAGCTTGTTTTAATCCATATAAAGCCTTGTTCAATTTATATACATGATCTGGGTACTTGTGATTTTCAAAACCAGGAGGTTGAGCAACATACACCTCCTCCTTCAACTCACCATTTAGAAAAGCACTCTTAACATCCATTTGGAATAATTTAAATCCCTTGGAAGCAGCAAAGGCACATAATAATCTAATGGCTTCCAATCTAGCTACTGGGGCAAACGATTCATCAAAATCTATACCTTCTTCTTGACTGTATCCTTGAGCTACAAGTCTAGATTTGTTTTTAGCAACCATTCCCAGTTCATCAGTTTTATTTCTCCAGACCCATTTGGTTCCAATTATTGGTTTGTTTTCTGGTTTAGGTACCAAGTTCCAAACATTTAATCTTTCAAAGTATCCTAGTTCATCTTGCATAGACCCTGTCCAAAACTCATCATCTAGTGCTTCTTGTATATTTCTAGGTTCAGTCAGAGAAACAAAGGCAGTGTGCACAGTAGTATTCTGAGATCGAGTGGTCATACCTTTGTTTAAATCCCCAATGATCAGAGAGGGTGGATGCCTCTTCTGTATGTGAGGTGGTGCTTGAATAGCTATTTCCTCAGTGTCTCTTTCCAGATTGCCATCCTGTACTACTTCAGTAGTATTGTCTTTTTCAGAAATTGCTTCTGGATTCGTTCTGGAGTGATGTCCCAGTCCTAAATCATCATCCTCATCGAAGATATCTGCATACTTACTAGTAGATTCATCAAACACAACATGTATGGACTCTTCAACTTTGAGAGTCCGTTTGTTATATACCCTGTAAGCTCTACTATGACTTGAGTAACCCAGAAATGTTGCCTCATCAGACCTAGAGTCAAATTTTCCTAGATTGTCTTTAGTGTTAAGCACAAAACACTTGCACCCAAATGGATGAAAGTATCCTAAGTTTGGCTTCCTGTTTTTCCACAGCTCATAAGGTGTCTTGTTTAATTTGGACCTGATTAGAGCACGATTAATTATATAACAGGCTGTATTAACAGCCTCTGCCCAGAAAAACTTAGGCAAGCTATATTCATTTATCATTGTTCTAGCAATCTCTATTAGAGTCCTATTCTTCCTTTCTACCACACCATTTTGCTGAGGAGTCCTAGGTGCAGAGAAATTATGAGCTATCCCAGCTTTATCACAAAATCTATCAAACTTTTCAGATATAAACTCCCCCCCATGGTCACTTCTAATGTTAATAACCTTTGTTTCCTTCTCGTTTTCCAAACGCCTGACCAAATTTTTAAAATTTTTATAAGCCTCATCCTTCCCAACAACAGTACCCAAGAATATCTTGAGAAGTCATCAACAATTACAAATGCATATGACTTCCCCCCCTAAACTC